GGCTTGTGGTTTCAGTATTTTATGGCTAGAGCGATATATGCGAGACGCTGCCTACCTGTATCCGCATTATGAAAGTGTCCATAAACAATTTGTAAGTCAAATGCAAGTGTTGTTAAACATATATACTCTTTTTGGTTTGAAAATGTTTGGTTAAGTAGCTAGAATTCAATAATTTGCTGTTTGTAGGTTTTAGATGTGTAGAAAGTGTTGTTGATTCAATGTTTGGTTTCTGCAGGTTAATCCTGAAGTGAGCTGCGTGAAATGGATGTATGGGTGCAAAAGTTGATTTAATAATAATTGATGAGGAAATAATTCTTCTTATTATTTTTTGATTGTTTAATTGATTTGTAAAAGATGATTTGTAAATGTTGATTTATTTAATTGATGTGTACATAATTATTATTTGTGCTTGTTTAATTGATTGAAATGTAATAGTTGATTTGTTGATTTCAATCTGCATTATGTTGAATGCAAAACAGACTATCGCAACGCGGAAATGACTATCGCAACGAGAGAATCGCAATGCGAAATGAAAATCGCAACGAGAGAATCGCAATGCGAAAATGAAAATTTGCAATTTTCATTTTCGCATTGCGATTCACTCGTTGCGATTTTCATTTCGCATTGCGATTCTCTCGTTGCGATAGTCATTTCCGCGTTACGATAGTCAATTCCGCGTTGCGATAGTCATTTCCGTGTTGTAATAGTCATATTCGCGTTGCGATTTCCGCGTTACGATAGTCAAATGAATGTTACATATCATAGCAATGTTCAAACTCAAGTTACTAATACATGCGTAACTGAAAATGTTAAAAGTTCACACATAATATACACATAATACAACGTTTACATTTAAAAATCACCTAAGTTAACAGTCCCAAAAGGTGAAGCCGGTTGTGATTGGGATTTTGATGAGGATCCATATTTTGGTAGAGGAAAAGATGATTGTGATGGCACTAGTGATCCACATGTCAACCTTGTATGACCACTTTCTTTGCACCGACTACATGTCGATCTTTTCTTCTCTTCACCCTTAGACGGTATACAATCGTGATTTTTTGGTCGGCCAGGTAGCCTTCTGTCCATGGCTGGTGGCAAAACTGTTTGTAAGTCATCTGGTATGTCCCACTCAGAAGGATGTGGAATAGGGTAGACAATCTCGACATAAGTCTGTCGATATACTTCTGTAGTGTAGCAATCCATAGCGTATGCACTTGAATCATCTTGGTTTAGATGAAGAGCAACTTTTATAACATGGCCACACTGATAACCAGATATTTGCCATTTCATACAACTACACGTCTTTGCATTTAGATCGACAAGCCCATTTAAGTTATTATCCAGTACTTCAAACAAAGTGTTTGAACATGGTTCAACTCTCCATGACGTTGACTTCACAACACGTTTCGTTATCTTTTTTTCAGTCCATTGTGTAACACGATGTTCCAATGTTCCTGTAAATTTAAATAAATAATACTTAGTAAAATATATGATAAGTTACGAATTTAAAGAAATAATACCTACATGGTTTCTTTTCTTGTAGTACCACTGTTGAATAGAGGCTCGAAAAAACTCCATTAACATAATAATGGGTAATTTTCAGGAATTACGACTTAGAGAATTGATTGATTCTGCACTATTAGACGTCATGAAACCATATCTTGCTCCAAGTTGATGTACTATTGACCATATTTCAAACCCGACATCTTCTAGTGTTTGAGCACACTGAGGCAAAACACGTCTTAAACAGTTTATATGCTTATTAAAATCCACTTCCCGATAAGCTTTTACAGCCTTCCAGTATGTCCATTTATGATTTTTTATACCAGCAGACCTTGATTTTAGATTTCTATACAAATGAACATCACAAAGTCCATGAAAAGCATCTGGGAAACACCTTCTAACAGCGTTGTCAATTGAGTTTGCCCTATCGGATATGATTGTCAGATTGCTAATAAGACCTATGCAATCCCTAAGATGCCCCATAAACTATGTCCATGAATCAAATGTTTCAGATTTGCCAACCCCGTAAGCTATTGGCAGTATCCCATTGTTAGCATCCATGGCTACTGCTAATAAGTTTGCTCCAAGGTATCGACCTTTTAAATGTGCTCCGTCAACTATAATAACTGGGCGCATGCAAGTAATAAACGAACGAATCTACAAAATCATATACACAAGAAATATAATCATTTAAATGTGAAATGCATGTAACTAACAAAAATGAGTCAACAAAATTATATTGATTTACTAACTGCAGCACCAATGGCGATAAACAACAACTCAAAGCATCCATCTCTATCTGTTTTGATATGAGTTACCGACCCAGGATTTTTCAGCTTTAAATTGTGACAATAAGCCGACAGTTGGGTAAACGATGCTTCTGGCGACCCCCTCAACAATTCCAAGGCATAACATTTGGCTCTCCAAGCTTGAGAATATGAGATACTAATCTTGAACCGAGCATTCATGTCAGTCATAATTTCATGTCCCCGATATATCCTGCCATTCAAAAATGTTAACTCAGCCAGAAAACCACCCAACACCTTTTTGTTTGCATGTCTATGGTGAGGAAAAACTTGGGTTCTTGAACATGTATGTTTATCAATAAAAGTCCTAACTTGAAACATTTTGCAATCTTTTATCCTCTTTGCAATCATACGCCACGTACAGTTTTTGTCAATCATACACCTTGTTTCGAAACGATCTTTGCTTGATTTGTTAACTTTTAGTTGATAGTCATCTTCAACACATTTCGTATACAAAGCTATCTTCAAGTCTTCCTTTGTATCAAAACAATCATCTTTCTTGATACGAATAATTTTTGTGTAACAATCAACTGCTATCTTTACCAACTCTTCTTCCGGTATCTGAAGTAATTCTGGCATATTCCAGTTATACTCCCGTGGCATTTTCTTCGGGGACTTTGCTTTGGGGATTTCTCCTTCTTCTTTTTCTTCTTCAGTGTTATATAAATTACAGAATGGATGTTCAACATGTTCATTCACAGTCGTAACTTCCTCCTCATTATCATCAACAACATCTTCCTCGGCAACGACTGTTTCATCATCAAAATTCGGGTATTTACCAATATCAAAATCATTACACGCAGGGTCTGTTTCTTCTTCTGAAACATTATCAAAATCCGAGTATTGACCAATATCAAAGTTCGGGTATTGACCAAGATCAAATTTCGAATACCGACTAGTACTCATAATTTTTTCTGTTGGCTTATCACTGTCTAACTGGTTAATACGAAAATCAGAATTTGGTGCTGAAAGTTGATTGATATTTGGATTAGGGAAAGGTTATGGGTTTTGAGATTGTGTTTGGTATTGGAAATGTAGTGAAACAAAATTTGTTCGGTGATGAAATTATGGTGGAACCATTAAATTTTGAGCACCATAAACTCGGGTTGAAAAACTTAGTTGATTACTACCCGCTACTGACCCAACTTCATTACTTCTAGGTTCAACAACATACAATGTAACATCATCTTGCGAAACACTAATGTAAGCAATGAATCGTTCAACATCTTCATTGTCAGTTAACAAATAAACTTTACCTTTTCTCTGATAAGATAGCCTAAATCCACTTAAGGGCTCTAAATTCAATTTATTTGCAACACGTAACATTAGAGTTTCATAAATTAACTTCTTTAATGACAGTTTTAGTTGAAGATGCATGGGTAAAGGCATATATTGCAAAACACCATGAACATTCTCCCATGACCCTCCAAAACACAAATCTATCCAAACATTATCAACATTAGATGATTTCATTATTGTAAATTAATTTACTAAACAAACGAGTTGCGAAACTAAAACCTGTTGCCGGATGGGGAAGGATGTCGTTGGATATAGGAACGGATGTCGCCGGAGAGAGTGATAGATGGAGATGGAATGAGTTGCGATTTAGGGATTTAGGTTATGAGTTATTGTTGCTACGTAGTTATATACCCAAAACATTTGTGTTGCGAAACTAAAACATGTTGTGAATTCAGAAATCGAGTTGCGAATTTGAAATTCAGTATTGCGATAGTCAGAATCTCGTTGCGATAGTCAGATTCGCGTTGCGATTTACAGATTCGCGTTGCGATTTACGTATTCGCGTTGCGATTTACGTATTCGCGTTGCGATTTACGTATTCGCGTTGCGATTTACGTATTCGCGTTGCGATTTACTTATTCGCGTTGCGATTTACGTAATCGCATTGCGATTTTCCAAATTCGCGTTGCGATTTACGTATTCGCATTGCGAATTAGGAAAATCGCAACACGAATTTGGAAAATCGCAATGCGATAGTCAGAATCGCGTTGCGAATCTGGAAACTGATTTGCGATACCGGAGATCGCGTTGCGAATTATCGATCGCATTGCGATTTAGTTGGTCATTTTGGCAAATCCAAAAAAAGTTGGTTAAAATCGTATATTATAAGGCATTTTTGGTCACTGAGGTTATTTTCTCTTTTTTTAATAACAGAAAAAAATGATAAAATAAATAGCATTAATATTTTATTAAGAATAAAACAATTAATATTAATTTAACTGTGCTGTCACGTTTAAATCAATTTAATAAAAAAATCAAAAAAAAAAAATCTGCTGTGGAACTGAGAACAATTAGTGCCAAATCTGAAATGGATAGTTCATATAGTGCGGTTCAGTCATGCCCGTCTAGATCAGTTGGTAGAGCACAAAGATCTTAACTTTGTGGTCGTAAGATCAAGTTTCATTGAAGACAATTTATAACGGAGGTCTTCCACGGAAGCTGCTCTCAACCTGACGTTGAGGGTAGCCTACTACCATACCTCCCTCTTATGCCATTACATATAGAAATAGGGTCAACTAATTTTTATATAGTGCGGTCCACATCTGATTGAAGGGTATCTAGTTCACTCTTGCACGTGTAACAAAATATTTTTTAATAGTGTTTTCAATACTATATGAGATTGAGCATTACCAACATTCTAACAAGTTTTTATAATGATTTCCTTTGATTAATCACCATCATTTTGCAGTAATAAAAGCACCTGGAATGGATTCGCTCAAGGTTCTGCTCAGTAAACCCTCGGGAGTTGCAGATGGTGTTTCAGTATGGGAGTGGTCAGGCTCTGCATTGGATGAGGGCGACGAGGCTTCGAAATGGTTCAAAGAATACATTGGGAAACCGAGTAGGCTAGTTCGTTTTAATGCAGGTTGGTTTGGATCTAGTACATTGCAATATTCTTGGTACGCATTGCCAGGATGAAAATGTTGCCCTTGAAGATCAGAGAATATGCATATACTGGTGGCTTATCAGCATAGTGTGCATATTAAGATACTTAATATGGTAGTAATTTGGTTACACTATTATTCGATAATGCAGCATCGGAAACTAGGCCAGTGGATCCGGGGTATGCTCGTGGGCATAACATCATGTTTTCAGACGAGTATCCATTCATGCTACTATCTCAGGTTAGCTTTGTAAGTGATGTTTATTAACAAAGTTCAAACCTGACCTTCGAGGTACTTTTGCAGGAATCATTGGATGCACTTAACAAGCTTATGAAGGAGCCTGTGCCGATAAATCGTTTCAGACCCAAGTACCTTTTCTTTTCTTTTCAGGCTCAGAATTACATCTCTTGGTATTTATTTAGCATGTGATTCGATCAGGAACTGTTGCCCTAAGCAAATGTTTTCCAGGATCCACTTACGACTTCAAATTCAAATTTAAGTATGATTTTTCCAGTGGAAAACATGTGTCTGACCCTGAATTTGATTTCCTCTTTTGTACTCTCTATATGAATTGTTTATGACTAGTGCATCGTTTACTTGCCCGCAACGGCATTCTTGTTCGTGGTTGCGAACCGTTTTCGGAAGACACATGGACGAAAATGAAAATAGGTCAATTTTCATTCGACGGCGTAAAACTATGCACCCGCTGTAAGGTAAGAAGCTATCGATTCTGCATTCTCAGCCTATCTTATGAAAAATGATTTTTCTCAGGCATAAGCTGGTGATGTCTACTTGTAAAGTGCAAGTGCAAGAATGTTATTTGAGGTCACCTTTCTGCATTTCCTGCAAGAACGTTATTTTGCGAACTTGACGAATATTGGCAAAGACAAGATTGCTTCCGTTGTTTGTTCAAGTCCTTGATTTTTTTGTAGCATGCCATCATCTATTAGATATCTGCAGTTCATAAGCATAGGCATACCATCCGGAGACGGTTAAATAATGTGCATTTAGTAGGTACCTACAATCAATCAAGACACCGCAACCGCCGGCCCAGAGCCGAATGAAACTCTAATGAAAGTCAGGTCAGATAAGGTTCTGCGACCGAACGACAAACAGCAGGGGAGGGTAAGACGAAAACTCAGAGCTCTCGGCCGTATCCTTGTATAATTCTAGCAATAACCTTGGTTACATGGTATGGCAGATCTACTTTGGGCTGAACTTGGTTTGCAAGGAAAGCACTGAAGGGAACTCAAAGATGGTTAAAGTGGGAGATCCTATTTTTGTCATCCAGAAAGTCTCTTCAGCTGCTGAAGCAGCAGCTTGAATATTGCTGAACATCGTCATCTTTGGATTTCAATTCTGTTGTCTAAATAAATAAGTGGTTTAGTGCTTAACCCCCCCCCCCCCAGCATTTTCATGGTGTTAGATCTTCATTTCAATTTTATGTGAGATCCAAACTGCAGATAAAAATGACATGGGAAGCCATGGCAAGGCTGAGAACTCAGAAATTGCCGTACAAGAACACTGAATGAAGTTGAATTCCTGGGATATCATGTTCTTTAGATACTGTAGTGGGAAAAAAAGATTGATTCATATAAGGTGTTGGGAAAATTATTTATTGAGAGAGTGTCGGCTATAGTATCAGTAGGAAAATGTCTGGACCACTTAACGTCTTTTGAATTGCTATTATGTTAAGTTTGTCGTTTCGGCTGCATGCACCCTAAAGGAACAATGTGTCTTTCCATAGACGATATGTCTGTATGTCTTTCCAAAGATGTATCTTTCGTGCGACTTCTTATTAACACTATAACATTCATATTATCTTAACAAATAGTTTCTCCTACACTTGAGTAGATATTTTTTTCCCACCATATTATTTAAGAGTTTTTGCCCCTTGTTAGCTAGACAAGTTAAAATTTTTGAACTCCCTGGAGTAAATTATCTTAAACTCTAAGTTAGTGTCAACTTGTTTAAAATGAGAGCAAATAAATTTTGGGATGACAAAAAGTTGAAGTAGCAACATCATTACCAAACCAAAATAAACTGACAAGCTCAATCAACCCACTAAAACCGAATATTCCTTCTCCATTCATGGCTGCCCAAGTCTCTCAACATCCTTACAAAATAATATTTGTGTTCGATTTTAAATCTAAATAAATTAAGGATAAATTGTTGAAGGAATTTATAATTATTTTTTAAACTTATAATAATGCTAACAACCTGATTTCCTTACATAATTATTTATTTAAACAAAATAATTATAAATATTAATATTTTAAAGTAGTTAAAAATCTTTACAATTTCTAAAAAAATCAGATGAAACTATTAGGAAATAATTTAAAACTCTCAAATTTGAAACCAAAAAGGACCGCATAACAAATTGGATGATGGAAATTGAGGGTATAAAAACAAAGAACAAAACACGAGGCTCTGTACTGTCTCTTGTCTGAACAAAGCTTCTTCCTTGTTCTTTTTTACCTGCCAATGTGCACACAATAATTCATTTCCAAAAACTTTGAATCGGGTCTTCTTTCCCTTTTCAGTTATTACCAACCCTTCAACGAGAAAGGAAAAAGAAAAACACCCACCATTCACCAGAAAATTCTTGTTTTTTTAGCTTTTTGAAGAAGAGGAAGAAGAGAAGAAGGGTTGAAATGGGGTCGAGTAGCAGTCGAATGGGGTCGAAGCCATCACCCGTGAGGCTTAATCGCCCACTTAAACGCTTTTCAAGACTCTCTTCTCTCTTCATATGTGGTTCATCTTCCTCTCATGCTCCTCTCGAGGTAATTACATTTGGAACTTTGTTCCCCCCCCCCTTTTCTTCTTGATTTTGAATTTTTAAATCAACATTCCATTGCCCCATTTTCTTAATTTCTCTTCATTCCTTCCAAAATATAATCTTTCAGATAATTTTTTTTCAATATACAACATTAAGGTTAAAGAAATTTCTTCACTGTCAGTTCCATGTTGTTTTCATTTTATTTTTCATCTCAAGTTGTCTGGTTCAACTCAGGATCGAGGAAAGCTATTAATCTCGTTGCTTAGATCAAAGTTACCTAATTTGGTTAATCCTTTGAATTAGGAATGAAATTAAATGATCGGACTGAAAAATCGAACGATCCATATTCAAATTTAGTTACATTTTGATTTCTTTCTGCAAAACAAATTGACAGGTTTATCCTCTATTGACTTTTTGCCTTGATCATCTCTGTTTAAGAATTGCAAATTCTAATGCTTTCTAAATTGCGCTTTACTTGACATGTTAGTAATCCTTCTAAAAATCAAGAAAGTTTCTTTATGAAATACTGGGCTAGAAGAAGGTTTTATGCATATGTTTGGATGATGTAGTTTGTGAGCCCATAGTATAATCAAGGGGAATGCTATCAAGGAAAACTGAAGAATCCGATTGCTTGAGGAATTAGGTTCTTATGTTGTGTCAGACTTTGTTTTCGACTAAAGAATATTTACCATTCTTGCACCTCCTTGTCCCAAGAAAAGTAAGCTTGTTATGTTGTGCAGTTGTACGAAATGTGAGTGGTCCCCTTTACTTTTGGCCGACAGAACGAAGCTGTCCCCTTTGCTTGCAAGTTTTAAAGTTAGTGTAACCGTGTTTAAAGTTATAAAGTGTATTTTTCTCTTTCGAAAGAGAATATCAGTTTCATTTATCTTTGCTTGGATTAGTTGCCATTGTATCTTATATATGGAGGCAAGAATAAATGAAGTGCAATGTCTTTGGCATTACACTATGCTAAGTAGTTGGTAGTTTTGAAAATTAGCTTAAATTAGCAACATCTGATCTTGGAGATATGCATTGGTTTAGCAAGTATTTTTTTCAATTGATTTTTGTACATTTTCTTTTAAGAGCACCACTTTTGTCCCCATATAAGTTCATTTTTAGTTAAAATTTCACGAGGTAGCCTAACTGTTTTAGCTTTCCTCTCGGTTCCAAGATGTAGACAGGAGGCAGTAAAGAATTTTTTCTGGCTGTGGGTTGAGCATCGTGTAACTGTTGCTCCAAACTTGGGTAGTCGAGAGAACACTATGAAGTCTTTGTTGAGGATGCAAGAGTCAAGTGAATCCTGAACTCTCTGTTAGCACCAGAAAATGTCTTGTGGATTGCATGTTAATGAACAAGTTTATGCCTTGGAATATATATATATATTTTTTATATTTAGATTGTACCCTAAGCATTTCACATGGAAGCTCTATCGTATGCTGCAGCGAATGATACAATACATTCTTTTGATGTAGATGGAAGATTATCCTGCTGAAATACTAAAATCTTCAGAACATTGTGACCAAGTTACCAACATGGTCCATCCCCTGGAGGAATCTACTTCGGTCTGCAGTATGGAAACTAGGTTCAGTAGCACAGGTACTGAAACTGGAATTTCGTCTGAATGCAGTACCTCAGCCTCTGGGGTTCCATATATTGAAGGTGGTTCAGCAGGTGTAGGAACAAGTAACTCTAGAAAATGCTTGAATGAAAGCATGGGGTTAGTTGCTTCTGAGGTAAGTGCAGATTATAGTCATGGTGAATCTCATAGGGATAGTTGTGCTTCAGCTAGATCTTCTGTAAAAGAACAATATTCAGCCCCCGTCTCAATAAATCTTTCGGTTAATGAGGATGCAACCAGTGACTTTGAAAATGCAAACAAGGATCCCGAGCCAAGTATTTTGTCTTCTCAAGGGCTCGAAGATTCATATTTACACGGGATACTAGTTGAGAATCAGTTGGGCGAAGGAACAACAGTCCATAGCTCTGCTTCTGATTCTGCTCACCATCCATCTGAATCAGTGACTTTCCAATCACTAGGAGGTGAATCAATTAGAGAGGCAGTACCTTCAGGTGTAGGATTTCTTGTATCCAATAGGGAACGGGGCCAGGGAGATGGAAGTGTGCTTAACGTTGATGTTGTGAGTATCTCTTCCAATATCTTATCTGGTGGCAGTGCTGATACAAGTAGTCGTGAAGCCAGGAGGAATAGTAGAAGATTGTTTTGGGATGCATTTTCGAGACATAGGTCCAGAAGACTTAATGATTCTCCATCCATTTTCCTCTCAACAGATGATAGTGATGATATCGGATTTCATGATAGGTGGCTCCTTGATTTCAGTGGCAATTTCTTTTATGATGGCTCAGGAGGTGATTCTGGTTACCTCAGCAGTAGGTTTCACAGCTTTAATGAACGGAGACGACACTCAAGATCGGAGGTATATAGTTGCAAAGCACTTTGACTTCAGAAATTTGTGCAATTTGCTTTTAGTAGATAGAGAGAATTTGTGGATGTTGGGGCTATCATCTACTGTATCTGGAGCAGTGTCAGCTATTTGTTTGTAAATATTATATTCCTGGTTATATATGCATGAAGAACTTAATCATTCTAACCATGCGAGAACATTTATCAAGTTCTCTTTACATTTTGGGCATAGAAGGTGATATATACATGCATTACATGCATATACACATATGTTGAATTTATCTTTATGTTTCCTTAGGTTGTATGAACTGCCCTATTTGGTTTTACAGATATGGGAAAGGCTGCGTCGTGGACATGATGAAAATAGTCAGCAAACTACATTTTGCCCATCTGGACTCCACCCTGATGGCACATGCTCATGTGATTCTCTCTTGATGACTGATGAGTCTAGTGCTCATGCAAGTATGTCACGAATAGTTATGCTTGCCGAGGCTCTCTTTGAGGTAGTTTACCTTTATCAACTTGCATGTCTTCCTGTCTATTGCTAACTCATCATGTTTTGTGTCGTTTTGTCATCTTCTGTTCCTTGTTCCTTCAGAAGTTGATCTTGTATGGCAAATTTTACCAAATTATAAAGTTACTGGTTGATAACGGCCAAAGTAGATTTTGTCGATAGGGAAGAATGGATTGAATATTGGTATAAGGACTTTAATGTTGTTATTGTTGTATTCTGTATATGTGAGGCAAATTGCGGTTTTGCAACCTTCATGCTAGTAAAATGGAAAATAGTAATGATTAACGTTGATGCCTGTGATATCGATAGACACGTATGTTGTTCCAAAAGTTCACCACATTTCTTTTCTGTCAACATGAAAATTCGTAGGTTTTGGATGACATTCATCGGCAGCCAGCATCACTTTCTTTGTCTATGGTGTCTCTCCCGGTCCCGGAATCTGTCGTTGATTCTTTCCCTCTCAGACGTCACGAAAAAGTGGATGCAGCTCAGACCGGGGATGCCATTGAACAGTAAGTTCTTTCTAAATTCTTGCAGATAGAAAATGCTTGTTGGTTGGCATCTGAAAGACTATAGGGAGGAGTGATTCTATTTAGGTTCCCCCTACCTTAATAACCCATGTTTCTTTACTATTACTACTCTAATCATATGTATAGGTGTTATATATGCCTGGCCGAATACGACGACGGAGACAAAATAAGAGTTCTGCCTTGCCAGCACGAGTTTCATATGTCCTGCGTCGATAAATGGCTAAAAGAGATACACGGGTATCGTTACTTCCGCCCTATATGTTACCGGAGCCCCCCTTCTCTTTACAAAACTGCCCTACCTACCTCTCTCTTTTTTGTAGAGTGTGCCCGCTTTGCAGAGGCGATGTCCGTCGGGGTGTGGAATCATCGATCTCGAACTCGGAGATTCCCTCTCTTTGATAGAACTGCACATATGTAAATACACTATTAAATAGTAATGAATTCTTGTACGAATTCTAAATGTTGTATTAACAGTAGCACTCATGCTGTATACCCCCCCCCCACATACCATGTTATATCATATACAATGAATTCTAGGAAAATTGCCTGTTCTTTGTTTGGCTCCGAATCTTCCTTTCTTTTCCCATCACAAACAGGTTATATTGATTGCTAATGGTTGGTACGTTGGATTTGGATGAGTGAAAATAGACGACTGAGATTAATAGTAAAAATAGTAAAAATGAGAAGATATTCATTAAAAAATAAAAAAATAATTTTAATTAACTATTTTTACTCATCTAATGATCTTAAAAAGATGTAAAATTAAAAGTGAATTTGGTGGTAAAATAAACTATTGTAAAACGAGGTGTTAACATAAACTAAAAAATATTAAATAAAATATTCAAATGGGACAATAATCGTGTTGAGAAGTGAATTCGTCTAATGTGTGTAATTGTTTCAATGGACGAATGGTCCCTAATTTGTTGGTAAAACTCATCCAACGGAAAAAAAAAGAGTTAATATCAGCCATCTATTTTTACTCATCAAATGATTATAAATCTGTGTAAAACTAAAAGAGTTTTACATTGTGTAACAATATACTATTACATATATATATATATATATATATATATATATATATATATATATATATAAATAGATAAGATATGATAAGAATTTGTTTACACTAGTTTAGTTTTACAAAATACAAACTCTCGTAACTCTTAAAAAATGTTTATGAAATAATTTATCGTGAATTTAACTGAAATGACCATCCAGCTCAGTTGGTAGAGCACAAGGTTCTTAACCTTGAGGTCGTGGGATCGAGTCCCACGGAGGGCATTTCATAATTCGGAGGTCTCTTACGGAAGCTGCTCTCAACTTGGTGTTGGGGGTAGCCTACTATCTTACCTCCCCCTTACCCCATACATATGGGAAAAAGGGACAGCCATTTTTATCGTGAATTTAACTCATCTTAATTTTAAATAAGGTAAAGTACGTAAATGATTTTCTAATTATAGGATATTATTTTGTTGAGTTCTTGATTATTAAAAGTTACAAAATGGTCATCCGAGTATTCATTATGTTCCAAACTTATCTTTTTCCTTTAAAAAATTAACGATGGCTTGAGTTGGACATTAATCTGCCGACTGAGATATGATAAAATATGATCTCATAGTTTCAAATAACTATCATATTTTAGTCAGCATATTAACGTCCAACTCAGACAACTGTTAATTTTGAACGGAAAAAGACAAGCTTGGAACATAATGAATAGTCGATGAATCATTTTATAACTTTTAATAGTGAAGGGATGCAACAAAATAATATTCTATAGTCAAGGGATCATTTATGCACTTTACCCTTTAAATAAATACTAAAAATAGGAAGAGATCCACAATTATGAAAAAGGTAGAAAAAGAAAGAAAGAAAGAGGAGATGCAGTAGTGCAATTATTAAGATGGAGATGGAGATGGAGCTGAACAAAGATGTTAAAGTCGCATTCAGGTCGGGCCAACTTTCTTTGTCATTTCCTTATCTATTTAATTATTTGTTCATCAAATAGGCCTTGGATTGGTATTAAAGTAAAGAAACTTTAATTTCAAATTTGTTTAATATTGCTTTCTATTGCCTTAATCTTCCATAAAACTTCAAATTAGATTCTAGATTAATATTTAAGTGTTTGATTAAATTAATATCGTCATTTAATAAATTGTTAAATCAATTAAAAATATAATAAATCTTTTTGTAACAGGCGTCAGAGCTATGAATCAGGGACGGAGCTATGTTTCGGGTTGAGGGCACTGCCCCTTTAATTTTTATCATTAAAAAATGTATAGGGAGAAATACCTATTTAGACCTTCAAATTTTGATTTATTTTGATTTTATCCTTCTCATTTTCTATTGTTAGTTATACCTTGTCTCGTTGAATCAGAATCCTGGCTCTGTCCCTGTCATGAACCACCATGTCAGCTTTGTAAATTATCAAATCAGTAGTATAACGATCAAAGATAAAAATCAAATGATATATTAAATTTATTTTTTAAATTAAAAAAACCACATTGAAAACAAAAATAATTTAAAGGATACCTTAAGATATTAGATCAACTTTATAGTGTTGAAAGTAGTCATCCCACTAGACAAAACGACATTTGGAGGGTGGGCCAAATGAAAGAATCCGATTGATGTAAAATAAATGAAACTTTAGGATGAAGAAATGTCACATAGTTTAGCTGGAATTCACCCAACACAATGCCTACTTCTATCTTAAATATTAAATAAAATATTAAGCCACAATAGTTTGTTAATTAGGTAAGTGAAAGCACATTTGGTTTTCCACATGTATTAAAAAATGATTTTTTAGTAAAAGATAAGTCGCATTTTAGCCTTTATATACTTCTTTTATATTTGTATTTTGGATAAGTTTATTTTTTAGTATTAAAGTTTGAAAGGTTATAAAATAGTCAATAACATTATTGTTTTAATGCAAATCGATCACCCAATTGTTAATTGTAATCATCTAGTTATGAAAGGTTGATGTGACATATTAGATCAACTTACTTACACTGTTTGATCACGTTGAATCATGTTTGACCGGTCACTGAAAGAAAAGAAAACAAAAAGGAAACTCTATATCTAGGATCCCTAATTCTTAAACTCTAATTTCAAATGAGAGACGGAATAGAAAAGAATTTGATTAAAAAAGGAAAATCAAGAGTGGAAGATGAAAGACCCGATCGATATACCATTGTTCAACTATAGACACCAAGCTTAGTTGGTGGTTACTTTGATGAACGAGTGGGAGGAGATTCATGGAAAGAAGATGGTTAAACCTTGTTATTTCTTTCTTTGGAAGGATCCTTCCATTGTGTCTCATACAAAAATTATCCTACCATGACTCCTAAGGAAGCTAAAAAAATGGAGAGGGACTAGAAAAATGATTTTTTTTGGATTTGTACCCTTGGTTGTATCAATGTGACTGTTGTGGGTTTCTAAGTGAAGAATGAATAGGTTTTTTTGTATGTCTCTTAAATCCTTAGTTTCCTTTTTTTTTTTAATTGGGAAACCTAGAATTTCCTCTATTTTCCTCAAAAAATTCTTAGATTTTTTAGTCCATATTGGTATTAATGTGAATTATGACCAGGTTAAAACAAAGTGTAAAAGTAGAGACTTAAATTTGTTAGTGTGACAATTTTATTAATTTGCCAAGCCATCCATCTCCCACTAAAAAATTAATTAAAAATATCAATTTTTTACTTTTTTTTATATCAAATGGTCATTTATAACTTCATATCATCTTCGGTTATCATAAAAATTTTACCTCCTATGTATATTAATTTTTATCCAACTCTTTTTCCTGATTTAAATTTCTATTCTTCTTTTAATAATTCAGGTGATTACAATATAACATTTGTTTAGAACTTATTTTAATAATTAATAACGTACATACACCTTAAAAATATAATTGTTCGAATCTAATATTTCCACGAGGAACAACGTTTTTTTTAACTTATATATTTTCTCAAGTATATTGAAAGAAAAGAAACCTATTGGTACCATTTGAAATAATGAAGCTATAAGCCTATAACTAGAATATACAAGAGTTAATAAAGGCTGCCGATTAGAGCATGCATATTTCTAATTTCTGATTTCACACACATGATACATGCAATCTGGTATTCATCATAGTGCATCTTAGGCATAACACTTGCTATTTCAATAAAACTGTACCAAAACCAGTAAAAACTTTATAGGGGACGCTAAGGTAGTATTCCCATCCTGCAACATGGGCAGTGAGCATTATTTTGTAGCCATGGGACCAAGCACCTCGAGTGAAACCGATGCGCGCACGGGGGATGAACCAGGCTCTCGCCGGCTTTGAACCTTTCCAAGCAGATCGCACACTCCTCCTGCTCCATCGCCTTCCAACTCAGCTTCCCCCAACTGAACCTCTTCTTTGCTCCGTACACTTCACTTTGCAATTCCCCTTGAACCATCACACACTTCATACTCTCTTTGCTCTTGTGCCTGAAATGATTGGTTTCAATAATAGCTTTCAATATTATAAACATTCTTTAATGATATAATACTAAAAAGGCTTAATATCAACATTAGTCCCTTAATGTTTGCCAAAATAATCTTTTTAGTCCCTATTTTTTTTCTAGAATATTTTAACTTTCAATATTTCATTTTAAGGTAAAAAAGCTTATGACATTTGATTGAATAATAACTTTGACTATTGTTCTTTTTTTAGAATATTTTTGCCCTCAACATTTCATTTTAGAATAAAAAACTTTTATTTTAAAACATTAAGCATTTGTTAATTAACCGGTTTCATCTACGCAGTAAACCATAAAATTTGGAAAAAAAATAATGGTCAAATGATCAATTTAATAAACATATGAGACTGATTTTAACATTATACCTATTAAAAAGTATCCTTAATGTTTAACTACGCGGTATCTTTAATCTCTATTTTTTTCCTTTTAGAGTATTTTTGTTAAAATATTTTATTTTAAGGTAAAAAAATCATATCATTTGATTAAATTGTCATTTTTGGACAATCATTTTATTTTAAGATAAAAATATCCATATTTTAAAGGGTTACTTGTTTGTTGAATAAGTAATTCATCCAATATCTTTTTACTTCAAAATAAAACGTTGAGACTAAATTATTAAAAAAAATATAAATCAGATAATACTTTATAATTAAAAAATTATAAAATTGATGATAATTTTTCATATTACTTGTTCCTAAATTTAGTATACCTTTTGGATTCTGATTTTCTCTGTGATCTCAGCCTTCCATCTAATCTTTCCCTTGCTTCTCTTGCTACTCCTCCAAGCTTATCATCTTGATAAGTCTGAGTTGATATGCTTCTTTGCTTTAACTTTTTTCCCGAGAAAATGAACACCAAGTTACTCCCAATCAAAATCAACGAACAAAAAAGTAAATATATTAAGAATTACCTGTGAAGAAACTGAGGTATGGTGAGTTTCATGGTTGCTTGTATACAAACAAAAGGATGACCTCCTTGTTAAGCCAATTACCGCCGCAGTCGGCGAATCAGATAAGCCTCCGCTTTGATGGAACCGTCTTCTTCTCGCACATTCAACACCGGGAAGCATGCCAGCCATTGATTCAAAGCAAAAAAATCTATGAAGAAAAAGTCTCGACAGTTGACAGGGACAAGTATGAAGGAACAAAGTGATGATTATAGAGAGGAGAGAAGGCCAAACATGGGGGGTTTTAGGATGGGGAAGTGGTTGGTTTGGATCTATGAAAACGAAATGGGAAATGAACGGTTTGACCGATAACCTAATGGAGATTTAGTGTGAGGAGACAAAGATGGGTCCATGGCATTGATTGGTGAAAGAAATAACGGGTGTCAATCATTTTGGATTTTCACCCACCGGAGAAGAAGATGATGATGATGTCAAGGTTACTGTGAAAAGACTCCATTATTATATGACATGAAAGTAAAGATGGAAAGGTGGGGGAGAAAGTGAAAACACAAAGGGAATTGAGATGCGACAAACAAGGTTCATGATAACTTGCCCCTCTACCACCCGCCAACCAGAATTCCGCATTTGTGCACCAGGCTGAGCCACGTGACTATTCACAATTCTTTCTTTCTTAAACTTATTCGGTTCATTCAAATTCAAATAAAATCATTTAAGATTTAAATTAATAAGGATTATTAAAGATAAGAAATCAACAATCAATTAAAACATTAAATCGTTAGAACAAGAATTATTAAAATTATATATATAATTAAATTAAAATCAAAATTTTATGTATATAATTATACAAAATCAAAGTTCATGTATAATTAGATATTTACGAAATAAACTTTGAAATTCCATCGATAAATAAGGGTGTTTAAAATTATTCGATCATGTATATTCAACCTGTCTACCCAAACTACAATAACTGGATGTTTTTTGTTTTTTTCTTTCTTTCTAATACGTTTGTCTTTAAAGTTCGAACTTAGATTTTTATATTGATACAAAGGACATCAAATGGTATGCAGCAAAAACATCTTAACAGCTATATATATATATATATATATATATTGTCCGATTGTCCTTTCAGTTTTTAAGACTACACCTTGATTAATTTAGACCTACTCGTGTTGGCATCTAATTTTAGTGGATGAATCTCCTAACAAAAATTTTCTACATATACAAGACCCCAAACTCGAACATATTTAAACGATATCAACTTACTTTAGTTAAATATTTGCGTTGGCCCATCTGGAATGCTACAAAGCAAGATAGCTCAAGAAAGGCAGCCTGAACTTACAAACAAAGAAGGGCTTTGAGGAACTCCAGCTGGGCCTTGATGACTTAATAAATTGAAATAGATTTAAAACTTGGAGTGGGGATCAGAGGCTAATTTATTAGTCAAACGTAAAAATGTATGTAAGATTTTATGTCCTGGATAATGTTTTTAATAAATTATATTAAAAAATTTAAAAATAAAAATTAAATTATTAACATAAAACACGAAAAATAATATTTAAACTATATTGGAATTTGAAATTTTCACATACAAAAATGCCCTCCAACACCCTCTTAGAACGTCCATATTCAAATACATGCACACCCTAGGTTATAATAGCCTGAATGAAAATCTAAGGGTGAGAGTTCCGATTTTTTTTATTATTTTGTTGTCCTTCCGATTTTAAGGTTTCACTCTTACTAATTTGGATAGATTCGCGTCGCATATCTGGTTTTGATGAGTGAGTCTCCAACAGGGATTTTCTACATACACATATTTGAACTTGAAACCTATTTAAATGATATCAAACTGCTTACCACTTGAATCATTTTTTTGGATAATTTTGACTTTTTATTAATAACATCTGATACAAATGTTTTTAGTAATGGTTACAAAGTCATTTCCTCTTGTTTAATTGCTTGACAACTTTTATACTAAACAATAAATTGATTAACTATTATTGTAAAAATCAACGACAGTGAAGGTAAATGAAATTCATGGCGAAGGTCAGTGAAACTGTTTAACCATGTGGCTTCCCTGCTCGGTGAATATGATTAAAAGAGAGAATCATATAGACCTGATTAAGAGTCTCGTTAAAAGCTTCCCTAAACTTAAGTGGAGCAAAAGAATGCCACTCTTTTACCCAGAGAAACACAATCACCAGTCAAATTTAAGCCATCCATTTTTTCCTTTGGCTGTTGGGGACCATGGAAAGATCCTACAGCTCGATAATTAGGGATGAATCAAAAGACTGTTGAGATAATCGTTTTTTTTTTAATATTTAATTTTAAATTTTTATATGTTTTAGATATTTTTTATTTATTAATAATAATATATTTTCTTCTTTAAAATTTTATAAGTTTACTTCTCTTCAAATTTTATGAATTTACCTCCTAACATAAATTTTATATCAATCCATATCGACAATAACGAAACTGTTGGTAATAACACTTACTTAATCCAGTCATTGTATTTCTATGCAAGTTTCGATGCCTTGGTGAAGTTTGGGATTCATCGAGGGTGAAATCCTGCTCCAAATAAATACATTAATATATTAATTCATGAATTCACTTAATAACATTAATGTATTTCTAAAGATATGAACTTAAAAAAGTGACGTATGCGGAATGTGTGCATATTGATTGTTAATTGATTAAAAGAATTCTAAATAAATATTATATTGTAATCACTTCAAACTAATAAAAAAAGTTCATGAATGTTCAAATTCATTAATCACCATACATATACCATGAATATACATCTCTCCATTGATGTATAGTTTATGTACTAATACTATTAATTATACCACCCGTTTTGTTTAAGAATTTTTTTTTAAAAAAATAACTTTAAACTCGTAAAATTCAACCATCAATCTTAAAACTCATGAAACTCTAAATCTATTATGATATATAATATTCATCATCCGATCAACATAGAATCGAAATCTACAATTTATTTTCTCCTTCTCTACCTCCCTACTATTAGAATTTAAAAGAATATGTTTCATCGTAGAAATCAAAGGGAACATGAAACTAAAGGTTTTCGTAAAAGAAATTAAATTCATTTTATAATTTTTTAAATAAAAACATTGGATCATAGTCTCATTAAATATTCAATGGCAGAGTGATTAAAATAAAAATAAATCAGAAAATGAATGAATATATTAAAAATTTATAATATACTCTATCTTTATCAAATATAGGAAAATTTTGACCTAAAATTGTCATTAAACGTATTTTAATCAAAATCAAATTCAACTTGTTATGAAGTAAATTTTCATTATTAGAAGAGGGGGTGAGGTTTTTCATTACTTTTTTTTATTAATAGTTTGAATGATTAAAAGATTATATCTATTCAAGATATTTTTTAATTATTAATGATAAATATACTCTGCAAACGTAACTGCTCGAACTCAATACCTTTAGGAAGAATAACACTTCCTTTAATCATTGAGACCACTTGATGAGGGTGAGTCTGATGTGTAACATCTAAAATACGGTTAAAATATGTCGTAAGCAGTTCTATTGGGTACCTATTATCAACCTAAAATGTTATTTATACTGATAATATTTCTGGTTGCAACCTAAAATATTATCTAAGTTTTTAAGTTGGTTCCAACTTAATATTTCACGACAAGTATCGAACATTTTTATATGAGTTTCGATACCTATAATTTCTAACCTAAAATGTTACCCTTTTTACATATTTTGTTATGGTATACATAACACTTTAGGTTGCGTTGTAAAATACTATATTGTTCAACCTATAATGTTATATGCTTTGGTAACATTTCTAGTTTTAATCTAAAATCTGAGTATATATTTTTTGGTATAATCATCGGTATCCAGTTTATTAATTGATTAATCAAGATTGGGTACTGCAGAGACGATGACAACTCTCCCTACCCAGTTTACTTTATTCGCAAATGTCAGGGTTCAAATCTCTTACCTTGTTGAAGTGATCTAGTGCATCATCCAACTAGTCCAACTGGTTATGGTTAGGTTGAGTATATTTCACAACATGTATTGAAACTTAGACTCTAAGTTTCGATTCTTTCCAGGAAAACCTAAAATATTACTAATATATATAACATTTTAGGTTTGATTGATAAGTATCAAAACTTATTCTCCAATGTTCAATATCTATCATTTCCAACGTAAAATATTAAAATATATTCAATATAAAAATATAAAAAATTCATATAAGAATTTAGGTTGAAACCTGAAATGTTACTAGCACCAACCTAAAATGTTATATGTTTGGTAACATTTCATGTTACAAACCGAAAATGTTATATATTTGGTAACATTCCAGGTTTCAATCTAAATACCCTCAATATTAAGTTGGAACCAATTTAGAAACTTAGATACTTAAGTTGAACAGAAAATCTTATCAATTTTAAATTGACATTAATAACATTTTAAGTTGATAACTTATAACAAATTAATTTCGACTATCAATATAAAATATTAAAAAATAAACAATCTTAATACAATTTCCGGTTCTATCAACATAAAAGAGTAGATGGGTTCAGGTTTTTGGGTAAACTTAAAAGGAGTAGGGTTGGTGGGCATTGAATCTTGAACCTTTTTCTCGTCGGTTTCTTTCCTAGCTTCATGGAAGGGTCTAGTTGAAGAATCAATACTCTGGTACAGATCGTGACCAATTTTAAAATACGCTTTAAAATAATTTACCCACTGACCAATTTGAAATAAACTAATATTATATATGATTTATGCAAATCATTTGGTATATATATTAAATTCATCAAAATGTGAATGATATTAGAAACTGAAAAATTAATAAATAATGAAAAGAATCAGAACGTGAGTGCGTGAAATAATATTATATAATAACTAATAATATAGATCTAATACTTCACAACGTGACTGAAATAAATAATAGACAAAGAGAAAATGAAATAATACGTATACCGACAACGTGAAATTCTTATAAAATAATAAAAAAATATTCACATTGAAATTCAATTTTAAATATATTAAATATAAAAAATAAATGAAATAAATCAATATTGATTTAATGGATAAGATATTAAATCCTTCTATTAAAGTTAAGAATTTTAATCTTAATATTTGTGAATGAAAAAAAATTATTTTTATAATAAATTTATATAAAATTCAACTTAAAATAGTATATTAATATATTAAATACTAAAAAAAATAAAGGGAGGGGAGTGTACTTTGTATTAGGTACAATGCCCAACGTGTGGCATGTGTATTTGGAGCACATGCCCATCTTTACCTGCATTGAGTCACTCCACCATGTGCTCACTGCTCAGCAAGACAGCTAGCTTGCCTTCACGTCCATTTTATTTTCTTTTTCTTCTTCATTTTTTATACATCTTAATATTATATAGTATGAAACAATACAAATTTAGTACCATTTAACCTAATTAAGTAGTAAAGGCATCGAACTATGAACCGATCTTATATGACAAGAAACATTATAATGTAATTTCTTCGTTTTATTAAATATGTATTTTATTGAATAAATATTTTTAACTTTAATTTATTATTATAAAAGTTATTATTAATAAAAATATATTTAATTTTTAATTAAATAATATATTTTTTAAAAATTTAATTATTTTAATATTTAAAATAATTGTGATTAAAGTTTAAAATTAATTTTTAAAAATTCAATAATAGAAACGTTTAAGACAGAAGGAGTGATATTTAATATATCATACTAATTTGATTTTGTTTTTTGATATCTTAGGAACTCTCTCCAAGAAATACGCCCTCTTGTTTCGTTTCTCAATGCATTTTCTTCATCAACTTGCTTTGCCTCAATAAGCAAACATATTTCAGAAATGCGCCCTTTAAAATCAACTCCACATTTCTTTCACAGGCGTTTATCAAATATTTTATGCATAAATAAATATATTTAAACGTCAAATATTTTTTAATTTAAAAATAAAAATAATTTTGTTCATAGAAACAAATTTATTTCGTCAGTTACTAGAAATGTATACCTTCTAATTTTGACAGAGGATCGCGATCAACGAGAGTACAATCATCTTGATTGTGGTAGAGCAGCCAATTTTGATTAATTATGGCAATCATTTTGGCCACAGTAATGGATTTGCAAGCTCAAATAATTCAAGAAACAAAGCATCAAATAAAACACTTCACAGTGGTTCTCATCATCTTGTGTTCTGTACTTATTCTAAAAACCAGAAGAAAAAACATGAACCCAAACATCGGGAAAAAATGTATTCATTTACACAGCTTGATTGTACTTTCCAGCTGAATATTATTATCTTCCTCCTCTTCTTTACATGATTCCATATGGTGCTTTCCTGCCGCCCCATGAATCCCGGCCGACCGAGCCGGGGAAGAAGACGGCGAAGAATGACAAGAAGAAGCTGCAGACAAGGCCAAGCATCCCTCACTCCAGGCTCTCCTTAGAGGATAAGAAACAGTCTTGCTCTTAGCAGATGCATGGGGACAATTGCCGCGGGACTTGTCGTGGAGTGCACACTGGCAGTTCCGGTGGTAGGGGCGGCGCTCGACGGTGATGTCGCAGCCGGAGATGCACCCTTCGTAGAGGGAAAATAAAAGTCCTTCAGTGGCCATGTTTGTTGAATTTTTTTGGCTTTAATTGGCAATGGACATAAACTTTAAATGTTATGGAACAATGGTGGCATTTATAGAATGATATCGGGGAAAAGACAAAAAGATTGGCCAACTGTGACCGTCAGCGTTGTGAGATCTAGGGATGGGGATGTAAATAATTACGAATTTCAAATTAATTATGAATCAAGCAGTTTAGATGGTCAGAAACTTGTTATCTTTTTGAAGTTTTGGATTTGTATGTAATGAGGTACGATTGTTGATTATTAAAGGAATAAGAGTCTTTAAATATATATTACATTGTATTCACTCTAGATATATAAAATAATAATTTTTAAATTATGATAATAATTTGAATGATAAACTAATCTAAATGGCATTAAATTTTAAGATTTATGTCGATTTTATTATTAGTTTTGAAATAGTTTAATTGTAGCACTTATTTTAGTTTTAGTTTCAAATGACTAACAACGTGAAGATGTAATTATTATTCTCAGATATTACATGTTCAAGCATAGAGACTTGGTATTTAAGTGTTTATTGTCAAATGGTTAAGAGTTTTTAGAATATATACTATCACTTGTAAGCACTTTAGATTATTTTTATAAAAAATTTAAAATTTAATAATAACTTAAAACAAAATAATAAAATCAATTCAAATCATTAATATTTTAATCTATGAACCAAGATTCAAAACGAGCTGAATATCCAAGTTAAATATTTGTCCCTTTCTTATTTATATGGTGAGAAGATTAGAAAACAAGAGAGAAAATTGGAGAGATCACCGACAAGAAACACCCTAGGTTGTCTCAAAAAAACAACTGCAAGATACCTTTGTTGACTAAATTTTTGTAAGGAAAGTGTTTGGTATCATTCTACAATGTTTATGCCAAGTGTTCTCACCTAAACGGTTAGTCCTATGGAATTGATAATAACTTGGGGGATAAACCTAAGTTTTTTAGACCAATATTGTAAGGTAGAAGTGGGACTTTAGTTTTGGCATGGGAATTTTCTCGACAATGAGGAATGGATAGAGGGAAAATTGGATTGCATTCGTATTCCTTCAAAATTCTAAATTCTTACGTAGTTTAAATATTTTCTTTGTATTTTTATTGATTATTTAATTATATACTCTTTTAATTTTTTATATAATTTTCTAAATTCACACATGTAATATTAAATCATACATATGTCACTGCATACACGAATATTGTAGGTATAAAGCTATTGATGATATGAATTGTATTATTGTTGGGAAAGTTTTGATTAAATTGAAAATTATTGTCGATTTTGATGTTTGTTATATTATCTTAAAAGTTAAGGTAAACTATATCATAGATCATTGAACTTTAAGTGATGTATCGTTTATATTATTGAACTTTTAATTTCTTTAATTATAACATCAAATTTTGGTCTTGACTTCAATTATACCACTGGACCGTTAAAATCCAAACGTTGTGATGACATGGACAAAACGATACATTTTTGGTGCGACAATTGATGTCTAAAATGACATTTAGGCGACGACTATTGATGCCCAAAATGACATCGTTTTAGGCACTAAACTTTAGGGATGTGTCGATTTTGCCACTAAACTTTTAAATAGTTTCATTTTCGACACTGCACTTTTTTTTACTATCGTACATAATCAATCACTGCTTGTCATTGTTCATCTTTTGCGATAAGATCGATATCAAAATGTAAGTATTTCACTAATCTTTCTTCTCTTAGGATTGGTTTTTCACGAAACTCATTCAAAATCAACGAAATTAAACAAAAATAATATAACATTTTTAGGGGTTTGAGGACTTTCTTAGATTTGAGGGATTTGAGGTGTTTGTTCAAAAATCCGAACAATGAGAAGCATTATTTTGAGAAGACAAACAACATACCTTAAAATTAGCCTCATCGAACGGTCGTTAGAAGAGATCAGAGTATTATCACATTGAATTTTTAAATGAATGTTCGTCGATTTTTATTTTTTGAGTGTTTTCTGAAAAACCAATCCTAGGAGAAGAAAGATGAGTGAAATGCAAATATTTTGGTTCCGATGTTGTCACAAAAGATGGTTGGCAGCTAAAAAAGTACAATGCCAAAAATGAAATTATCTAAAAGTTCAGTGATAAATCTATACGCCCCTAAAGTGCAGTGCCTAAAATGATATCGTTTTGGACATCAAAAGTCTCTGCCAAGATAAAGTTGTTTTGTTCATGTCATCACGTTGATAGAAAGATATGTCCACGTCATCATGGCATTAAAAATTTAACGAGCTAGTGACATAGTTATAGTTAAAACTAAATTTCAATGCTATAATTAAATAAATTGAAAGTTTAATTGTATAAATAATATAGAATCTAAAATTAAGTGATATCTGATGTAATTTATCATAAAATTTAATTAATAGCTTTGAACGTATAGGGGCTCTTCCTAGTTTCCACCACTGTCCTGTAATTAATAGAAAGGAACATCTACTGATTCGTCTCCAAGTATGATTTCTCGATTTTAATCGCCAAAACATACGCATTAATTAATATATCCATTCTTCCAAAATAAGAAAAAGATAGATACAATAATCTTATTTGGCATCTAAATTATCTTTGTTTTTGTCAATTTTGCTACTGTTAATGTTGCTTCATAAGTATTCTGCATTCCTTTGAGCTCCATTGTCAGGCCGAGCTGCTACCGACGATCACCGGATCAATGATGGATTTAAAAATATTTTTGATAGTCAACACATATATGTCAACAACTTAAATTTTTCGTACGAGGTGGACATAAATAAAATATCATATTAGAGACAATCAATAAAATAAATAAATAAATAAATTCAAATTTTAAGATGAACAACGTACCTAACTCTCACATCTGCATGCGTGTTGTTTGAATGAGTTTAATGATTGATTTACTAAAATATATTTTGCATGTCTTTAGAAAAACACGTAACATTCCCCACATGTATTCGACTCCTGAACCTAACAATGATCTTGGTGAATACACAGACTAGATGACTGATGATTGATGACAACTCCAATCACATGACAAGTTCTGTAAAGACTCAACACATTCGATTTATCGTAAGATGACTTCGACAACTTTACGACTCCACTGGAGAATCTGGAGAGTTAGGGCATGATTCAAATAAGCACATTGTCTCAGGAAAATGAAGTGTTGACCAGTGAGTGATCTCTAGAAAAATAGTAGGTTTTCGTAATTTACGAAGGTTATACTATTGAGGCCACCTTTCATGTTAACATACCTTTAGAAGTAACTCATCTCATTTATCGTATACGGATCTTGACCTATGAATGATCTTTAAAAATAGCAAGTTTTATTAATTTACGAAGATGGTTGTGCTATTGAGATCATCTTGTGTATCAACACCTCTTTGCATACTTGCACTTCCACCTTATTTTAGTGGGAGCAAACACTATTTCCTTAAGAGGTAAACTTTGGTACAAGATAATGAGTTGCTTCCGGTATAGACACCTAATTTTATTTGACTTTCTAATTTGATTTGAGTTTTTGGACCTTTGATTTGAAGTGACAATCGAGAAATTGTTTGGTTATGATTTGAAGGGGTTTCAAATTCGAGTTTTATATCTAAGAAAGTTCGACCATTAAGGCTTTGTATGACTTTCATATTATAGATTGTGCAAGCTCTTGTTGCGGAAGACGGCTATCGGATAGAGCAAAATCGCAACTGATAATTTGAGAAAATAAAAATGAAGATAAAAGAGACACAAAATTTACATGGAAAACCCCTAAAAAATTTAGGGTAAAAACCACGGGCAACGGTAGAAGAATTTCACTATGAGAAAATAGGAATTACAACCTCTCTCGATCTATCAAGGAGAAAACAATGATAATTCTCTCTTGATAAAAAAGGAGAAAACAACTCTCAAGAAACTCTCTAAATTCTCTCTAGTATTGGAAGAAAGCTAGAATGCTTTGGGATGGTTTTGAAGCTAAATGAGCTAGGGTATTTATAGTTGAAGCTTAAGGACTAATTTGTAAATACCCTAAATTACAATGACTAAAATTGAGATTTTACCATTGTTGATTTTCAACAAATAGCCAACCCTTTTTGACAAAATTGGTGCCTACCACCGAAAGTGGCTTGGCCACTTGTTTATTTTTCAACAATCTCCCACTTGAAGATTTGATTGGAACAATCATATCTTCACACAATTCTTTCTACCTTGTACCATCATGTTGCTTATGTCTCTGACAGGCCACAAGAGGATCGACACCAAGTAAATTTATCAGCGTTGATCTCCTTTGTCATGAAATATGCTATGTTGTCTTTGGTATGGATCTTCTGCATATCTACTGTCCATTCTTCCACCTTTTCACGAATGAAATGGTACTGAACTCGTATGTGTTTTGTCCTTGAATGAAATACTGGATTCCTTGCTAGATGCAAGGCGCTTTGACTGTCATAAAACAGAGAGACATACTCTTGATTGTGCCCAAGCTCCTCCAATAACATCTTCAACCAACTTGCTTCTTTACTGGCTTGTGTAGCTGCTACATATTCTGCTTCTGTTGTGGATGTAGCCACAACTGACTGCAACTTAGAAACCCAGCTTACAGCTCCATCAGCAACTTTGAACACATATCATGTTTGTAGATTTGCTTTTATCCAAATCCCCTGCATAGTCAGAATCTACATACCCAATGATTAGTAAGTTTGATCCTCCGTAATATAATGCAACATTTGAGGTCCCTTTGATGTATCTCAGGATCCTCTTTACTGTATTCCAATGCTCTTTGCCTGGATTCGCCATGTACCGACTAACCACTCCCACTGCTTGTGCAATGTCTGGTCTTGTGCATATCATAGCGAACATTAAACTTCCCACTGCTGATGCATACGGTACTCGAGACATCTCTATCCTCTCTTCTTCACTGCTAGGACTCGTACTGGAGGATAATTTGAAGTTAATAGGAAGAGGGGTAAAAATTGGCTTACAATCTTGCATGCTAAATCGTGACAAGATTTT